CATCCTTAGGTCACAAAGAATTTTTAAAGGCTGACTTCTATATGATGTGGCCACATAAATAAAACATGCATTAGCTTCCCAAGGTAGAAGGGATGCCAGCGTAGTGCACACTGTATGCCGCAGCTATGTATGTATTGAAGGAAAAAACACTACAAAATAATTATGGTGTCCTATCAGATAATACGTAGTATGGACACAGTTAATATGACTTAAACAATATGGATGTGGGTTAGTCCTTACAATTTGACCACGATCGAAGCCTGGACCACACAAGACAATGCAGATATGTTACTGTGTTCAGACGCATTAAGCCAAACATACCATAGGTCAAGCAGGGAACAGAACAGAACATCTTAAATCTGTTGGTTTTGAGCTACCTCATAAAACTAACATTAACATAAAATACTGTATCCTATAATCATACAGAATGCGTATAGATATAATGTTAATTATGGACCAAAATGTCTGCCTGGAGCATCTTTGTTTTGTTTAATTTAAGTGTTTCCAGTTCGGACATATAGAATCATAGAATGGTTTGGGTTGGAAGGGACCTTAAAGATCATCTGGTTCCAACCCTCCTGCCGTGAGCAGGGATATGGGAGTCTGGAAATCACTTTACCCTTGCCAGTGTATATACTATCTGTTTCTGGGTTTTATTGCATTTCCTTTGCAGCTGTGATTTGTGGCCATTTGCATTTTTGCTGACAGGTACTAAGAATAAGTCAATATTTATAAAGTACTTCTTCTGTGCCTTCCTTTTACTAGAGACTTCAACCGATCGTAATGAGCTGCTTCAGAGAATGAAATACAATTTGGATGCACATGCCAACAATAATTGTAGTTGTCAAAAGAAACAGATAACATTATAACTACCCAAAATTTAATCACAAGAAATGTGATAATTCATATGGGAAATCGTGTTTTACAATTTCTTTCATTTTATGCAGTTGCGAGTAGATCAGGGAAAAAAAAATTACACTGTTTAGGCAAAGCATGCGGAATGGTATAGAAAGGCAATTACATGCAAAGGTTTTAAAATGTCTTGGTGTCTTCCTGTTGATGGAAATGTACCTGAGACTTCAACCATAAAAACACTGCATTAGAAGTTGGAAAAAAGTGATTATAGTTAACTGTTGCATAATATACTTAATTTGATTTAGTTAGAAACTATTTTAAGATTTTTCTGGCAATGCTGCTGGGAGCAAGGATAATGTAGCGTGTAAAAGAACCTTTCAGCTGTGGAAGGTGAGATTCAGTTCTGTCATTAGTGTAACTCTGGGCTAATTCGCTAAATCAGATTTGTTCCATATTGATAGCCATATAAATGAAGTCTGATACTGGGCCAGATCTTGTATACTAAAATCCACCACAGTTTTAAATTCTGATTTACAATAACAGCAATCAAATTATTTTTAACAGTATTGGCCTATTGCTCTAAAAGCAAACAAAAAAAAAAAACACAGACACAACAAAACCAATCAACCAGTAAAAATCAGCTAATCAATGACAAAGTTATTAACACAAGATTTTTTCATTTTCACATGTTTAATTAGCATTTTCATACCAAACAAGATGCGTTCTTATTACATTGCTTGGAGAAACTGATAAGTTGTATGAAGCTAGACCTTTAGAGACAAGACTTCAGATGGGTGAGCCTGGCTGGAGGGAAGCACAGAGAGCTCCTGTGCTTGGTTACTGTACAGAAAGCCCAGCTAGAGTCTGGGCTGGGGTTGGGCACCGTGACCTAGCTCTGAGACTTCACTTGCATCCCAGCTCCTCCCAATGAACGTTTTTGTGATCCATCCTCCTCTGATGGAATCTTGATAACTTGTGATATCGCTATTTACTGGAAGTATCTTGGTTAGTGACAGTGAGTGGCTGGTTCACTTGAGATATGTCTAAAAACTACATGTATTACAGGATGAATGTGTAAATTTAAATTCATTACTCAGGGACGTACCTAGCCTTTGAAAGAACACAGTCAGGATGAGGGTTTGCACTCTGCTTTTTTTTGTTGTTGCTGTTTGTTTTGGTTTGTTTTTTCTCAGTGTTCTGCAAAGCAATACTCTCATTGTACAATCCAAATTAAATATATGAGAAGAGTCAATAAGTTGTTTGTCATAGTGTTCTTGGAAATACAAAGAAAAATATTGTTTTGTGCTGGAATTGTCTCATTGAATTTGGTCAATGTATAACAGGCATAGTACATGCGGCCAGGAACTAAGAGACTCTGTCCGCTTTGCTTTATACATACTGACTTCAGGATTTTGCTCTGCAAAAGGGGAAGCTCAGCGATTCAACAGTCTCTTGAGGTTTTTATGACTGCGATGTTCCCTGCCCAGAAATGGAGTTCTGCAGCAGAGTGAGGAAATGAGCAGCAACAGGAGGCTTTAAAGGAAACAGGCCATGGCAAACTAGGAAGTTTAAAATGAAGATGATGATAAATGCAGTTCAGAATAATGACTACGTACTTTTCATCAACCCTGATAGATTTCTTTGCTCAGCAAGGAAACTTATCAACAGTGCAATGTAACAATCGTGGCAGGAGATTCTTTGTATTCAATACCTTTTAATGTGTAAAGGAAAAAAAAGTGGCTTGTGGGTTAAGTCTTACCAAACTCTGCTATAAGCTCTTGGTTTTGTTCAAGATTATAAAAACACAGAAGATGCAGAATGGGATCTTTTTTTATACTTTCATTTTTATTATCAGATATGAAATGTGAGCAGTTATACATGAAAATAGTTCTCATGACTGGTGTATTTAAATGCTAGTATGACCATAGGAACCAATCCTGGTTTATATTTCACAGGGATTTTCTAAAAACAGAATAAGATTCCTCCTTCAGAGAGAAGGTCTCAAGCAGTATACAATGACTTCAAGCTGATATGATAATATATCCCTAAAGAATCCAGCAAATAATTTTGAAGAAACCAGCTATTTATACTGAAATTTCATGTAGCAAGACCTCTGGAGATGTAATCTAAGAGTTTAGAGCTCTGTAATATTACTGATCGTCAGAAGAGTTTGACAGCTCTGTAATTTTGCTCTCTGTGAGTACCTGTGGCGTATTAGTCAGGTGATTCATAAAAAAAGTCAGCTACAGTTATAGGATTAGAAATATCTGGACTAAGATATCTTTCAATTTTTTTTTAATATTTATATGGAGCCAGATTTGCTATTGGATTTGAGTAGCATATACCTAGAGAACAGTATCTGCTATACACTATAGGCAATCTGATTTATCACCAATACATTTCACAATATTAGAGACTGTATATTAGAATGTAGTCTTACGTGAAGGCAAAGTGAAACCTCCTTAAGTCCTGCAAAAGTGCATAGGAAGAGGGTAGAAATATTAAGCTTTTGATATTTTATTATTCTTTGGATTCCTAAGAACTGATTTTTGCTTTAAGATCCCTTTTTGCAGAGAGATGTCCACATTGCTCTATGATCTTTTTTTCATAATTATATTCAGCATTCAAGGCACCAGTAACTTTTACTTCAAGTTTCATAGGTAACGTGATTATTGTTTTTTCCTTCATCATTTTACTAGTGTTGGTGACACATTACATAGCTGCAAGTTATGCATCTGATGCTGCCACACTGTTAGCAGTGTTCATCTGCCACCATGTTGGGTGTAGATACCAAGGGTGTAATAACAGTTTCTAAGAGAAAAGAAATTGAGAAGAGTATATATGTGATTTCTGAACACGTCATTTGCTCCCAGAACCTTGCCCTTTGCTTTTTAAAGGGTGGTACTTACTGCTAGCCAGATGCTACAGGAAATAAAGAAGAAGAAATCCATAAACGAAAGCATTTTGATTAGAAAAAGGAAGCAAAAGGAAGGCTAGGGACAACGTGGGGCCGCTGCTGAATGAGGCAGGTGTCCTGGTGACGGAGGATGCGGAGAAGGCAGAGCTAATGAATGCCTTCTTTGCTTCAGTCTTCAGTGCTAAGACTGGCCCTCAGGAATCCCAGGCCCCGGAGGTAAGAGAGGAAGCCTACAGAGAGGACGACTTTCCCTTGGTCGAGGAGGACTGTGTGAGGGATCGCTTAAGCGATCTGGATGTCCACAAATCCATGGGCCCCGATGGAATGCACCCACGAGTGCTGAGGGAGCTGGCGGATGTCATTGCTGAGCCACTCTCCATCATCTTTGAGAGGTCCTGGAAGACAGGAGAGGTGCCCGAGGACTGGAGAAAGGCCAATGTCACTCCAATCTTCAAAAAGGGCAAGAAGGAGGACCCAGGGAACTACAGGCCGGTCAGCCTCACCTCCATCCCAGGAAAGGTAATGGAGCAGCTTATCCTGGAGGCCATCATGAAGCAAGTGGAAGAAAAGAAGGTTATCAGGAATAGTCAGCATGGATTCACCAAGGGGAAATCATGCCTGACCAATCTGATAGCTTTCTACGATGACATGACTGGCTGGGTAGACGAAGGGAGAGCTGTGGATGTTATCTACCTTGACTTCAGCAAGGCTTTCGACACAGTCTCCCATGATATCCTCCTGGGGAAGCTGAGGAAGTGTGGGCTGGATGAGTGGTCAGTGAAGTGGATAGAGAACTGGCTGAATGGCAGAACTCAGAGGGTTGTCATCAGCGGCGCTGAGTCTAGTTGGAGGCTGGTGACAAGTGGTGTCCCTCAGGGGTCAGTACTGGGCCCAGTCTTGTTTAACTTCTTCATCAACGACCTGGATGAAGAGTTAGAATGTACCCTCAGCAAGTTTGCTGACGACACCAAACTGGGAGGTGTGGTAGATACACCGGAAGGCTGTGCTGCCATTCAGCGTGACCTGGATAGGCTGGAAAGCTGGGCAGAGAGGAACCTGATGAGGTTCAACAAGGGCAAGTGCAGGGTCCTGCACCTGGGGAGGAACAACCTCATGCACCAGTACAGGCTTGGGGTGGACCTGCTGGAGAGCAGAGAGGGACCTGGGTGTCCTGGTGGACGACAGGTTAACTATGAGCCAGCAGTGTGCCCTGGCTGCCAAGAAAGCCAATGGGATCCTGGGGTGCATCAAGAAGAGTGTGGCCAGCAGGACAAGGGAGGTTCTCCTTCCCCTCTACACTACCCTGGTGAGGCCTCATCTGGAGTACTGTGTCCAGTTCTGGGCTCCCCAGTTCAAGAAGGATGAAGAGCTACTGGAGAGAGTCCAGCGGAGGGCTACAAGGATGGTGAGGGGACTGGAGCATCTCCACTACGAGGAGAGGTTGAGGGAACTGGGCTTGTTCAGCCTGAAGAAGAGAAGGCTGCGAGGGGACCTTATAAATGCCTACAAATATCTGAAGGGTGGGTGTCAGGAGGATGGGGCCAAGCTCTTTTCAGTGGTGCCCAGTGACAGGACAAGGGGCAATGGGCACAAACTGAGGCACAGGAAGTTCCGTCTGAACATGAGGAGGAACTTCTTCCCTCTGAGGGTGACGGAGCACTGGAACAGGCTGCCCAGGGAGGTTGTGGAGTCTCCTTCTCTGGAGATATTCAAGACCCGCCTGGACAAGGTCCTGTGCAGCCTGCTGTAGGTGACCCTGCTTCGGCGGGGGGGTTGGACTAGATGACCCACAGAGGTCCCTTCCAACCCTACTATTCTGTGATTCTGTGATTCTGTGAAATTTCTCCTTCCCTACCTAACTGGAAGAAAGGTTGCTGTCCTACCTGTTTCCAAACTGGTTTGGAAGAGCAAACAAGAACTCATCAAACACTGCTAGAGCTTAGAGACATATCAAAATTGATTTTTAAGCTATCTCGACAGTTTGGAAATACATTCAGTTGGATCACTAGGAGACTAAATGAATTTGGGACATCATCGGTAAGTCCATTAAAATTTCCCCATCAATTACATAAAGCAACAGGGAGCAAGAGCAGCTCATTTAGAACCATGTCTTCCAAATTCAGCAATAAAAAGTGAAAGACCATCTTTCTCCTTTCCTAATGCCTGCAGGAAGTAGATAAGGGAGAGCTTCATGTCTTCTCCATCCATTTATATTCCTTCCTCCTATTACCTTTCACTTGCTTTAGTACTTCAGGATATTGTGTTGCATTAAACAGCAGGTCTTTCCGCTGTATAACCTTCACAAGGGTTATACAGTGTTTTCCAGACTCTTTAATAGGTGGACTGGATTAAATGAGAAGGGGTCTTTCTCTGGAGAATAACATATTGCTAAATGGGAGTGAATGATGTATGAAGTGATCCCTGAGGAGCTGAAGTAGGTAAGAGGAGAGTAGTGCTTGATGTGAATGATTAGCGTATGGAAGCTGGAAAAGTGAGGAGAGTTGATGCTAGTTGGTTTTGTGTATGAAGGTCAGTGGAGTTTCTTTAACTTATCTGACAAATAAAAACAGATACTTTTATTTTGCCTCCATGGAATTAATGTATTAAGCTCCTTCCTCAGACAAAGTGGGGGGAAATAAAAACAAGATGAGCATTTCAAGCACATAAGAGATGTGTAAGGTCAGTATTTGGTGTGTGTATGCATGAAGATGAGTGAGAGAGGAGTATGCACTTGTTTTTACTCCAGCATTTGGGAGATGGTAGATATTAGCTAAAGAAACTTTGTAGTCTGCATATCTAATAGATAACCTTTCATGTCTTTAATTTACAATTATTTAGAGTAAAACCAGAGGTCCAAATATCCTTGTACAATTTAGAAATTCAGAACTGAATGTAATCCAATGTAATTTTATTTTAGAAGCTACCAGTTGCTATTTGCTACAGACAAATTTCTTAGATGTCTTCTTTTCCAGCAAAGGGAGTCTGAACTGTCAGGACTCTCGACATAATTCTGATGTTGATCAGTGCTAAGGGCTAGTGGCCCAGGTGACAACATCGTTGTAACCCCTGTGAACTAGCGGGTATTTTGTGTAGGTTCATACATCCTTCTTGTTCTTTTCAATTTCTTCTAGATGCACAGAAGAAAGGAAAAGGCTTCCTGCCATGTTGTCAGTGAGGCTAGGCAAGCCACCAGCTTCAAGTTTCAAATCTGGTATTTTTCCTAATCATGGCATAGTCTAATTGGTAAAACACTCATTTTTTCCGTTTAGATTAACCTTTAATTATATGTATGGCATTTCCTGAAGAATCATGCAGTTATACATGAGGACTTTAAACCTCTTCCTCTTTTCTCTGATTCCCTGGGCACCCCCAGAAGCATCTAACAACAGTAAAAACTTCTGTATCTTGTCTTCAAATCATCCAAGAGTCTCTTATCTCCTTCTAATGTGCACAATAGCGAGAAATGATCTGACTTACTCGGAGCAGAAGACTGAACAGGATCGTTGATGCCTTACCCACGCTCTCTTCTGCACAAAGGCTCAGTTAACAGCAGTTAGTCACAAAGGGCAGCAGAGAAGAGAAAAAGCCAGATTTGCCATGGAGAGAGGAGGAAAACACCAAGCAACCAAGGAATCAGATCAGGCACCAGGACAGGGAAGTTTCAACACATCACAGGAACAGTTCCAGGTGTTTGAAGGACCTGCGCTGCTCTTGCTGAGATGTCAGCCCTGCTTGTGGTTCCTATAGTCAAGCTTGTAAGTGTTTCAATTGTTCAACGAATGAGGAGTCTGAATTCCCTTTTCAAATGGGAAAGATCATAAAAAAAAGACAAAATGACAAAAAATTACACTAAAGGGCAAAGCCTGTGAAATTAATGTCCCAGTCAAATGGGTAGAACAAACTACATAAGCCACATGAGTGTCAAAATTTTTTCACTTTGAATTTCAGGTTTTCACTTTCAGTCCTGATTGACTGGTGTGTATGTAACATGAAACTCAAGACAATTTCATTTGTATACAGCTATCTAATAAAGTTAGTGAACAGCTGTTAGAGACTTCAGGTAAAATCCATATGAATTTAATTTTAGAAATATCAATATATTAAGAACTTTTAAAAACACAGAATACATTAGCTTTCACAAGCAATGTCACTGCTATAGCATTTTCATATATAGTTTTTTTGTTGGGGAGGAATATCAATTGTGCAGCTGTATCTAATTGGCTATTGAGCTTATGAATAGTCTTTTCTAGTTTAATGTCACCATATTACACACAGATATTTTTGCTTCCTGACAGTAGCCTTCCCCTCCCCATCAGTGCAGCCTTCCATCAAGGATTTGTAAGTAAAAGATGTTTTACTGGCTTAAAACATAGATATTAACTGTGTATGGGTAAATTATTGTTGTAGACCTTTATCGTCTGTGCTGTGTGTTAGATGCTGTTAGATCATGAGCTAAGAGAGGGATTTAGTAGTTCCAGGCACTTAAAAAGGAGAGCTAGGACCAGAATGAGATGGAACAGTAAATGTGATTTATCTTTCAAATAGATCAGTCTAAAGTACGTGTAGGTTCACTGATTCAGTTGGAGTTACTTCTGCTTAGATTTACAGTAGTGTATGGAAATCAGAAATGTGAGTCAAATGTTGCCTTTACGCTCTTGGGAGTGTTTCTTATTTTTTAACTCAAGGAAATGAAGTCACAAGTAGAGAAAGACAAAGTAAAAAGAGAAGAAGTAAATAAAAGATAAAATCATATTAAACACTCTATGTGCTATTATCTTCTTATTGCTCTATTGTAAGAAAGGAATTAAAGCAAAGAAAAATAAGCTGTAAAAAGGAAGAAAGCAAACAAAGTCAGAATATCATAGCTTATAAAGAGATGGTGCACATAGCCAGGTAGCTGTCCACACTGGAAAGTGCTACACAATATCTCTTCTCAGCACTGTGTTTCTAAACCTTGTGATAAATATCCCTGTACAGAACATCATTCCACAACTATTTATTAAACAAAACCTTTAGGATCAAATTGTTAGCTTAAATTCTATTATGAATGGAGAAAGTTGGGACTATTTACTCTGCAAATCATAGTTATTTCCCTAGCTGCCTTCTAGTTCCCGGAAGGAAAGTAAATTGCTTTGCATCTAGCCTGCCTCCACGTCTTGAGTGGACCGATTCAGAGTGATTTACAGATCTAACTGCTAGTTTGTTCTGTTTGGCTAAACTTAATGTTTGTTTGCCTTGGTGAAAAATTCCATATGCTTTCTCCTTCAGACTTTCAGGGACCATAACCTACTCATCAGGTATTCCAAGAACTATCTCAAAATGAGTTTTCCAGTTGTGCATCAGATAACAGTATTCGTTGTTTGCTATACACGGCCTCTGCTCTGAAAAATCCATTTTCAGTTGAGCTAATGGCCATTCAGCTACAGAAAGAAATACGGCATAGAGCAATTCTAGAATTGATTGGACTGCGGGATATCATTACAACCTGCATAACAATAAAACGAAATATTCAACTAGCAGCATGAATTAAAATCTGACCTACAACCCCCACAACTTGGGTGAAAAATCTGAGAGTGTACGCTCTCATTGTGACATAATATGCCGAAGTTTTTTTTTAACATTCTCATAATTTTCTGATTCTCTTCAAAGTGGTGCCATTTCTTTATGCAGCTGTCCCATTTTTCATCTGAAGAGTTCATTTACACAGAAATATTTTCACTTCTCTCTCCGATTTGGTGTTGCAGGGAAGTCTACCTCCTTTGACATTGTGCACATTCTGAATGTTTCATTAGGAACTTCCAATTCCCAACATGCAATAAACTTTTTCAAGGAGCCTATTTCAGAGGAAAAAGTATTGATTAACCTTCTGTTTATTTCTTTTTGACTTTTGAATAATGCATTTCCTGCTTACTTTGATGATTCCCTTGCAGTAGGATTTTATAGATTCACCTTTGCTAACAAATAATATCTTAAGACTGGCAAAGTATTCACTTTTTTGCAGTAGTTCTTGTGACTGCTTGGAGTCCTTTCAGTTGCTTTTATGGTGGTGGTTGGATTTTTTGTTATTCTAATTGGGTTTCTGTCATTTTAATGACTGAAATAAGTTTTAACACTGGATTATGTCCTGCCTTTCTCCTTCATTACCTCTTCTGAGTTGATATAGGATCCTAGAATAATTCATATTTTAGCTTTCACAAGTCTCTTTGGTTATGTAGACACACACGAAGTACCAGAAGACATATATCTTATGAAAAAGTACCAGTGAAATTAATGCTAAACAAACATTTCACTTTGGAACCGACTCCAGTAGTTTTACAAATATCTTTTATATGAATGCAAGGTCATAGCCAGAGATGATTGAAGTCAGTGGAAAAGACTGCCATTTAGAGACTGATATTTCTTCCACAATTTTTTAAAGGAAAAATTAAAATTTGTTAACATTAAACTATTTTTACCAAAAAATAGTCTAAAACACATATTGAAAATTAAAACTGTTTTGCTTCTCATAAGTGTACTTTTAAAAAACATGGGATTTACAAAGTATATTAAGTGTAGGAAGTTGCTTCACAACTTTAACCTGTTGTAAAATTACTGAAAAGTTGCAAGACTTAAATAGCAGAATACAAAATAAATGTATTTAATGTAATTTAAATCATCGACTGAACAAACTGACTTGAATGAATATCCTTTAAAGGGCAGTTAATCAGTTTCCAAATGATGCCCACTAAA